CGCTACTAGGAACAAAAAGCTACTAGGGGCTCCTGGCCTTACTACTATAGGAACAATGTTCGCTACTGGTTGCGGACTTGATCACCACTTTCGAGAGATGCACCGTCTTCACGGGTCCCTCGATCACGACCGTGCTTCCGCCGGTCCCCCACCAACATCGGAGCCATGTCTCTGTCGATCGTGAATTGGTTGAGGCCATCGCTGAGTTGAATACTAGCGTCCTATAGGTGTTACAACGAAGATGATGCGGTCTACCATACCAACGACGACAGAACTGCCTTTACAATCAATCTTGGTTACCACTTGCCTGAATACCATTATGACCGGGCAACCAAAGCCAAGCAGCGACTCGAACAAAAGAAGGAGTTTCTCAAGGACGAGTTGGAGTTTCTCACGGTCCGAAAGGACCAGCTCGTTGTCGAGTTCGAGTGAGGAGATCAACGATTCCTCAAAAGTGATGTGCCAGAAAATGGTTGCAAACACATATTGTCATCACCTCTCACCAATTGTGGTGAGATGGTGAGAGGTGTCCCAACACATCTGACTCCTCAATACTTGTCAGGTCTTCGACAAGGAAAACTCACTGCTTCCTGAAGTTTTTAGAGGAAGACAACTTGTGTTTTTGCTTCAATGATTGGAAACACTTAGCTGTTATGGTTAGGTTAGCTCCAGGTGGTTCTGTCAAGGTGATTGCAGGCGATCAGAAGCTTGGAACCTGTGCGCAGCGCGATGAGTTCAAGGACGGTCCAGAGGGAGCTCGAGTTCCTTTGGAACGATCCCGAAACTGCGAACGGTGAGAATCTGCCACTTCCGGAAGTGGATACCGACGCCGTGAAAGCTCATGCTATTACAGCAGAGCAGACTGCATTGATGTTCGAGTGCTTCATGCATGAAGTAGACATCATTACTGGTGATGCGAATAGTTGTGCACATAGAATGGCCACGTCTAAGGGTCAGTCCATGTACAACTATCATTACAGCACCATGCAGCACTGGACGCGTTTGTTCAGTGAGGCCCGCCTTAAGGCTGATGCCAACGCAAAGCCGGTTGTTCCCAAAACCTGGTACGCTGTTTCTTCACTGGGCTTGAAGAACTGTGAGCATTTCATTGGTCGAACTTGGGAAAGCATGGACAAGGGTGAACGAGCCCGCTTTAGCAAATTGGGTGACTGCTGCGAAACCATTATTCCGAATATTCCGGAATGGGGTCACACCACATGTCTGAGGACGAGTTCTACGCAGTTGATGTCCATACTCAGGAATACAGGGTCCATTTCTCTGAAGAGTTCGCTCGTATTGACCAGGACATCATGCGTTCACGTCCAGGAGACACCGGCGAGTAGTTCTAGGCGCTAGGCTTGATCAGTTGATCAGAGCTGATATCACTTGCTCAAGGATTTTGTTCTTCCTCTGATGTGCTTCTTTTCTAATTTTCAAGGAAGATGATCATGAAGACTCATTTGCCGTGTACAGCTGTTATTTGACTCTTCTGTATTGAAAGCTAAATGGAGGGTGTGTGGAGAAAGGGGGTCAGCAAAAATCGCTTATACGAAGTTAGTGCATCAAAAATACCTTCCACGAAGTTCTGCGAAGGTTTCTGGGATTTCGTTGCAGTCAGTTCTCCTACTGGCCCACCATTCCACGAACTGTCCACGAATAGCCTTGGGTTCTACGAATGTCCCGCGCCTTCCACGATGTTAGTAGCACAGGTTTTTGCAAAACCGTTTCTGTGCACTACCCTTCCGTTTGCCTCTGATGTATAATGTACTTCTTTTCAAAGAGGATGATTTGAAGCTTCATTTCATTTGCAGATCTGCCAACCTTGGATGTTCCTCTGATGGACTTTCTGTCATTAAGAAAATCCATTGCGAGTGTAGTGCGTAGATTCGTCCGTGTACAGTCACTTGCAGGTATCCGTCTGAGCCTGGTGTGTTTTTGTTTTTGCAATGAAGAGTCCTTTCGATCCGCGTCTATTTTTGGGCCTGTGGATTTTCTTTCGCGGCCGAGACCACTACCGTGAAGACCTTTACTTTACTCGAGCCTGCTGCTCCTTGCGCGTGCGGATTTGAACTTTTCAATTGGTGACGCGTGGTCATTGATTCGGTTTGAGGTCTTTTTTGTGGTCTAGAGCTCATTTTGAAACATCGTGTGGTCTAGCTCTCACAGACCAACTGAGCGCCGATACGTATCTTCACCAGCTGAATGTACAGTCAAACGAGTGTCAACTGTTTCACCTTTGTAAGCTATCACTCCCCTCCTGTACTTTTAAGCTGTGAGACTACTTGTAGGCGTTTAACGCTTGACTTGTAGGTATAATAGCACCTTGGCACTTGTGACCGTGTGTAGACTCTGCTGGACTTTCGACTTGGCCTAGAAAGGAAAACAACAGCGACATAGTGCTCCATGGACTGGATGGGGGAAGTTATTAATGAAATGCGCCTCCTGAAATGGGGGCGTGTACAGCATCACTTCCATACCACAAACACCGAACAACAACAGCACCCCTATAGCCTATACCCAATCCCTCGACCAAAAACAATGATCTGGTGCCCTTTCGCCGCTGAATCACATCGAAGCTCCTCCAGGCCCAAGCACCCAATGTCTATCAACATCTGCGCTCGTGGTTGTACCTGCCGTGGTGGCCGCCGTCGTAGTTGGTGCCGTTGTCGTAGTCGGTGCCATTGTTGCGACGGTAGTAGATGTGACCGTGGTCGCGGCGGTTGTGGTTGCAGGCGTTGTTGTGGTAATGGTCGCCGTCGCGGTCGCGGTTGTGGCACTGGTAGCAGTAGCTGTAGTGGCAGCGGTTACACTAGATCTGGAAGTCGAAGTAGCACCGGCGGTCGTAGTAGGAGTGGTGGTTGTAGTAGAAACTCTTTGTGTGGTAGTGGGAGCGTCCCCAGTCTCCAGCACGTTCGCCCCTGCAATCAGAGCAGCAGCATTGGGCTCCGCTGCAGCAGGCAAAGCTGCAGCCACGTTGTCGTTACTGCAAACATTCTGCAGCCTTGGGGTGAAAGACTCCATGGAGATATGCAAAAAGAAAACAAATCCTCGCGTTAACAATATTTAGTATATTATGGTATATATGTATATGTATGTGTATCATATCTCTGTCTGCACTCCGAAGCATTCCAAGACGCAAAGAATCATGAAACGTACAAACTCGACGTTTCCCAAGTAATCTAGTTAACTGGCTGGCAAATCTGTTGCGATGTGGGCAAGTTGTTCTGTCCCAATGTGGAGCCTATTTATCAAATGAGGTCGTGTGTACGCAACAACAATCTAAGTAAGGGGACAACGACCTTCGCCCTGGGAACCAGAAAGCGTTCATGACGCGTATGACACATGGCGCCGCATGGATGTAAAGGGATCACGTTTGAGGCCTGTTGTTCTGCATCGAAGGGCTTTTCCAGCGAATCGTTTTCTTGTCCAATTCGTCAGTCCATCGCCTGACTCTGTCTGGCAAACCTAAACCTCCTTCGCTGTCTTCTCTGAACCATTCTTCCCCGAAAGGCTCAAGGCTCCAACAGCACTGAGCACCTTTAGCAAGAAACAAGCAAAAACATTGAGAAAAAGCTAGCGCCAGAACTGACAGCTCCTCTGTGGATGCTTGCGTCAACAAGTCCAGTTCTGCTGCGGAAGGGCAGAAACATGAAGGCGGGTGCCTGGATGCCTGTGTGGTGCAAAAATGCTGGCTGGCGGTTTTGAAAGGCCAGGCACAGAGGGGCCACTTGCCTGCTGCCGGCAGCTCGCAACTGCCTGGAAAGGCTAGCCTGCAAGGCGCACCCACATGCCACAGGGGCTGGCCTGAAGGCCAGTAACCCTGAGCCAAATCCTGCAATCTCAGCCTTGACTACAACAACTCTTCTTTTTGCTGCCATCCTTGCCTGTGGAAGGTGCAGGGCCCATGAAGAAGCCTGCAGCACCTTGAAGAGACCCGGCAAGGCAATTTCCAAAGTGAAGGCCAAACATGCGTGGAAGGCTTCTGCTTCCTGGATTTTTTCAGGTGTACAAAGGCCATTGGAAAAAGCTACATCAAGGCCAAGAAAGGAATGAGTCAGAAGTGCTATTGCTTGTGGTAAATGCGCAAAAGGATGCTCGACCATGCAGATGTGAGTGAGCAAGGCAAAACTCCTTTGCCTCGTAGATGGTTCCATGTCACGTATTACAACCAACACGCTCCATCCTGTGAAGCCATTCAAATCGTCCTGTTACCTGTTCTCCGCACAGCAAGCCAAAATTCAAACTCCACAGAACTTCACGCTCAATGACGTTGTGCAATCACCCATGTCATCAAGCTCATAGCTGTTGGGCAGTTTGTATCTGTTTGTTGATGGTTTCAATTTCCAGCAACTCGAAGGTTTCAACGGCTTTCACGAATTGTTGCTTGAGCAAAAATCTCCAATCTGGCCATTGCCCGAGCTCCTCATCTCTATTTCTTCGTTTGAAGGTCTGTGGAGCCTTTATGCGCTTGTTCCATTGCTGGCTTTACTGCACCTGCGCCAATTGTTGCAATGCATGTTGCAAAAAAAACATCCCTTGCTCTGTCATTGCAAAGGTGACGCTTGCGAATTTCTTCGTTCCTCCAAGTCTTACTCTAGTATTCCCCTCAAACAAATACGCGTCTCTTCTCAACCTTAAAGCTCTAAACCCGCTCTTGGCCTCAGGCTCGATGGTGAAGGGATTAAATAGTAGCAACCTCCAAGTCTGAGGGGCCCTGGATGTCCACCTTTTGCTACGTTTCTCCTTCTGCGTCCTCACTCGAACCACTGTCCTGTCTTGTTGTGCGCTATTCATCGACCTCTGTTGTTGTTGTTGTTGCTGTTGTTGTCGTCGTTGTTGTTGGTTGCGCTGTATGTACTGATCAAACTCTTTGTTATAAAACTGGATTGCTCAAAGTGCAACAAGGCGCAACAACAACAAAAACTCTGTCAATCTCGCCCTGCTTGTAGTCGAAGCCCCCCCGCTATACTGTAGCGAAGCGCGCAACTTATGTTGCCTATATACTTCACATGAGATCATACACATCCACAGAGGCTGAATGTCTGCATTGTGTACATCTTTTGCCAAAAATCTAAACATGAAACGAGAAGCTCCGTCAACATGTCATAGAGTTCGCCATCTCCAAACACTGGATTCGCATAAGATGCAAGGTAGACGCAATTCTCTGCCAGGTTTTCGTCCACTGCAGAGGAGCCACTTTGAAGAAGAGAGACGGGCCCGGACAAGGAGTCAACTATAGCACTCAAAGCGTCCAGCAAGCCTGGGCATCAGGTTGGAGGCCATCGCTTTTAGGTTGGAGGCCATCGCTATAGCAGGTTGGAGGCCATCCGTTCTTTGTCAAGCCTGGGCATCAGGTTACTGGCCCTTCGCGATTTGACATGTCACAACAAGTCGAACAACAAAAAACGGCTGTGAGGTTGTTACGGACGACAAACTCACCTGCTTCAGTCAGCCTAAGAAAACAAATGCATATTCATATTAACAATAAAAATATTGGCGACAGCAAGAAACCTACGTTGTTGCTACCATAACTGGCATTTGCTGCATAGTTGGTGACAAACTCCGTCACCAGCAACAGGCCACCTGACGCGCCCAACCACTTGTTGGAGAAGTCCCGGACCAATCTCGCATCGCTGCCAGCGAGGCTATCAGCCAGGGTGGAGAAAGTTGCTCCAAGCGCTTCTGACCAGGGATGGGCCGTGCTGTTGAAAACCCCCTTCTTGGCAAGTGAAGGTGTGTCATCCAACAAGTGTGGAGGGCAAACATCTAAATTAGGTGGCAAATGGCAACATTTGTTATTTTTGATCTCGATGGATAGATCGATCAGATAGACAAATAGATGGCGAGAGACAAATAGACTGACAGGTAGATTTAAGCAGTGTTTCCAGTTCGGGGCGCTCTCGAGTTCGGAAAACGGCGGGGCAACAGGATCAAGCGTAAGGCTTCTGCGGACCAAAAGGAGCAGCAAAACATCAAATTCGGTGAAAGAAAGCTGCTGTAGCAACCAGACCGAGGTGCAATTCACAGGCGCTGGCTCCGTGAGCTTCAAAGGAATTACCAAGGTCCGAGTCCAAGGTGTGCAAAACACTTGAGACAGGCAAGTAAATAGTAGATAGGTTCGACAGATATAAAAAAACATTAGGTAAGAAAGATAGATCTATATATGACTCACAATATGACGATATAATATGAACACAAATGAACACACATGCCACACACATGCTACCCGCCCTGGAAAAAAGAAACCTGGAGACCAACAGGGCCGTGGTCGAAAGACAGAGTGCGATGTGTCTTTTTCGCGTCCCGAGCCGATCAGCGACGAGTTCGCACTAGTTGAGGTGCTTCTTTTCTGCTGGTTCTTTTCTGCAGCGCTGGAGTGCACAAAGAGCTAGCGTACACTTTTCAATCTCAGTAGGCTTTGACGGGTAGAACTGGCCGGCGCTCGCAAGGTGTTGCGGGAAAAGCACATGCTCGAAATGGCGACGCTGCTTGAGTGTCATCCCGAGCAACCCGCCCGCAACTGTCCAACGTTGGGCGAACAAACAAGCAGTGTCCCTACAGTGCTTTGGAATATTGATGGCGATAGCCTCACAGTATTTCGTTAATGGATACAGTTCTTGCTACCGACGAGGTTCATTTTTCTGATCCCGACTGAAGGGGTTCGCGACTGTTTGGTTTGAGCCTGTGCAGGATGCTCAGTAATGCTGCACCTTTCCTGCATCTGACATTCACAAAACATCACAAAACCTATAGACGGGCTCCATAATAAACTAAAATGTCACATAACAACTTGTATAATTAAATGGGTTGCAATCGTGACACGTTGATACCTTCGATGTTTGAGCCTGTTGAGGCCATGCGAAGGTGGGCAACTCAAAACACACTTGATGCGTGTTTTTTTTGAACATGTTGAGGCTTGTGGAAGTATGAAGTATATACGTGTATTGAGGGTTATACTCATTTGCCAATGCGCTCACTTCAGGATTTCAATTCATGTGCGTTGAGTGTTTTGATGTCGAACAACTTATCTTGAATTCATAGTTAGTAAGCTACTGAATGTGTCCAACACAAATGCGCACAAAACTCTAGAAAGAACTGTGGTGACGTTGATGGAAAGGTAGGTCTTATGGTACCCTTTCCCAGGCCAAAGTCAAATCGTTTCCGCGAAAAATCAGTGCGTATCCGCAGATAACGCACTAAGATTCTTAAACTGGGTCGATTCGGGTTGGTTCATGTTAACAGCATCCAGGAATTCCAGGAATTCACCAAATGCTCCAACGGCCAAAACAACATCTTTACAAGCGATGACCTCCGCCCCAATAGCGATGGCCTCTACCCCAACACCGATGGCCTCCAACCTAAAAGCAATGGCCTCCAATAGCAATCCACACACTCTGACACTTGTATTCAGTGACTCAATTTCCACGATGGGAAGGATGGCGATGGAACCGCAAGGTGGAAGAGTCGGCGACAACAGTATGGTTTAACCGTGTTTTCAGTGGCACTCAAAGCGGCGGCTAAGCTGCTGCAGATCTGTGGAGGGAAGCCTGTTTCGGGGTGGTATCATGAAGGACCATGGCATCAAAAAAACAGCAAGGAAAAGTGGAGTAGTGTCACGGCGCAGGTACGTTTTCCTGATCATCCAGTGTGGAGCTTCGTTGGCAGAGGCCACAACTGGAGATCCCTCTGCCCCCTGCTTGGTTGAAATAGTTGGTGGAAAGGCGTGGAAAAAGTGGCGGTGGAAAACCCTTTGTCCAGGGGTGGACACACACAGGTCGCCGGCTTCGGCGCTTTTTCGGCGCGCATGTGAGAAAACTAAATAGTCACCTAAAGAGCCTTAGAAACAAAAGGAAAGAAACACAGAAAGAGCAGCGCTAAGGCGCTAAGAGGGGAAGAAAGAAAGATAGGGGTAGTTACGAGGCCCACTAGTTACAAAACCTTCTAGTTACTGACTACCTAGCACTCTAGTTACTGAATACTTAGCCCTTGACTTGAAGGAACGGAAAGAAGTGCTGGGTCCGATCGACAGAAGGTTTCAACAAGAATTAGTTACCGACTACTTAGCAGGTCCTAATTAGGTGCAATAGTTAGGGAGCGGGACTTTAGTCTTAGACCGCCCGGGTAGGAAAGACTAGAAAAGGAACAACACAGGGAAAGGCACCGACACACAAGTGTGTCGAGTACCATTTCCCTATGTTGCCCCAAATAGGTAGGGAGTAGAACTCAGCGGGGGGGGGGGGTGAAAGAGTGACTAGGGCGTACACGGTAGAGGTGCAGACCGCTAGTGTCTTTTACTCACGCAGAGTCTTATCCTCTTGCTCTTTGAGCCTTGAAGCAGTCAAGCGTGGACACACTATATCAGCTGTTGGAGTGGAACCCTGTACAGGTAGGCTCTACTTTTCAGCAGGCACAAGATTCATGTCCACTTCTAGCTGATTGCGTATGTCGCATACTCTTTTTCTACTGCAAGGCTAAAACAGTCCAGCTAGCTCTGACAACTTAAAAGAAAACTACGGTGCCATGTACTTACCTAATCCAGTGTGTTTCACACTTTGGAGAAGGTAATCTCATAGCTACTAAATACAGTGAGGGAGCAATAGCTGACTCACCTCAAGTACAAAATCAAATCGATAATGTACCTCGGCTGGAGACTGTACTTTTCGCAGGCGGAGATACCATGTACCGGCGCTCACTAGCTCTTTATGGCCTGAGCTAGATCAAACTAAAAGGGAAAGCGGCTTTTTCTCTACAGAGACCTATAAAAGAATCAAACGACACTCGCGTAACAAAGAACTAAAAATTCAAGACCGCACAGATTGCAATGAATTAAGATGCCTTGCAAAAATGCAAGGAGCGTACGGTCCGAGGAATAATCTTCTCGTGACGTGGTCTCGACCGCTTTCATTTACAGACAAAAATAAACTGCATCAAAAGGACTCTCTTTCACATTCACATCAAAAACACAAGAAGGAGATACCGGCAAATGTATGTACAAAAAAAATCTTGCGCTACAATTGCAAATCTTGAAATGACTTAATCATCAACCATGACTGGTTGTCCATTAGAGGTCATCTTAGAAAAGCGACTGTGATAGATATCATCAGTTATGCAAAACTGTCCATACCTATCTACACGCTAAAGCGTATAAACCTGGAATGCAGGAGTATCTTCTTTGATAAAAAGTTTCTCCTCATTGCAAACCAGAATTTATTAAAACTTCAGCCTGGCAACTTAAAGTCAAGCCTGGAAGCAAAGTATCAACTGTAACCAGAAGTATCTTCACTTCCTAGCCATCATTTAAATTTCAGCCTTCGCTCAGGAATTATGCCGCTGCAGACGATGAAGCTGCTTGACCAGAAGTTGGCGGCCTTCCTTTCTTTCTATTCTGCTTTTGTCTCTCCTTCCTCCGCACGTTCGCCTCATGAAGCGTTGCTCCCATGCGATACTGTCTTCTGTCTCCAGATGAAAAGGAAGCTGGTCTGAGTGAAATAAACATTGGACCATGACTGTCCTCGTCAGTGGGCCTTGAGCACATAACCTCTGTGTCAATCATAGCAAAGTTCTCTGAAAAATTACAGATGAACTCCTTCGTGCTCACTGTGGAATTTTCATATTCCTCTTCACTCATTGAATGACCCCATTCAACAATGGTAGACAAACATGTATCGCCAAGCTGTGATCCTTGGTATTCTTCTTTTTCAACAGTAGAATATTCTTCCCAGAGTTTATCAAAGTAAACTTCACACTTCTTGAGGACCTGTGAAGTTGAACTGTAAAATGTTCTGGGAATAGGTGCTTTGATACCAAGATCTGCTTTTACACGAGCTTCTGAAAACCTGCGGATCCAATGCTGCATGGTGCTGTAATAGTAGTTAGCCATTGGCTGCCTTTTGTACCCAGACATTCTGTAGGCCAAACTATTTGCATCACCAGAAATGATGTCCACCTCATAGACAAAACACTCGTAAAGCATCAGTGCTGTCTGTTCTCCTGTCAGTAGGTGGGCATCCACAGCACGGTGTGTATCAACATGATAATTACAGACTCTGATGGTATGCATGTTCGCTCGAGTAAGTGGAACACGCTTGTCCTCAGGACCATAGTCATCAAATTCAAAGTCTGCATCCTTGAAATCTTGACGAGGCCTTGTTTCTCCAAAACAAATCTCGTAGATAGCCCAAGTTACATCACGCTGTTCACAGTGACCAAGTTCTTGATCATGTCCAGCAATGATCTTGACATATCCACCTGGTGCCAATCTAGCCATCACTGCAAGATTCTCCCAATCATTGAAACAAACTGTCCAATTCTTTTGCTCAATAAATTCCTTGGCAGGAACAAGAAGATGAGCTTCCTGGAGAATCACGACATGTGCACGTAAAAAGAAGAGCATGTTGAAGAAAAGGTTGTTCTCAAATTGCTCATTCTGAAGTGACATGGCGCTCTGTTTGCGTGGCCTCATTGCACTATCAAGTCCTTGGAGAAACCTTGGTGTGGTGTACTTCTGACCACGAACCATGTTGCCATAGTTCCAGGATAAAAATGTCAAGGACTCTGAGCTGGCCAATAAATTAGTTCCATATGGTTCTTCTATTCTTCCCTTGAGGAACCTTCTGCACAGCTCTTCATAGAAGGTGACAAAGTCCCAACTGGGTCCCTTGGGACCATATGATTCCAGTTCC